AAAAAAATAGAGCTGGGCATGGTGGCTCATGCCTATAATCCCAGCATTTTGGGAGGCTGAGGTGGGCAGATCACCTGAGGTCAGGAGTTCGAGACCAGCCTGGCCAACATGGAGAAACCCCATCTCTAAAAAGAAGAGAGAAAAAAAGAAATAAAAAAAATAGAAATAAGGCCAGGCGCCGGTGGCTCGCACCTGTAATCCCAGCACTTTGGGAGGCCAAAGCGAACAGATCATCTGAGGTCAGGAGTTCAAAACCAGCCTGACCAACATGGTGAAACCGCATCTCTATGAAAAATACAAAAATTAGCCAGGTGTGGTGGCAGCCACCTGTAATCCCAGCTACTTGGGAGGTTGAGGCAGAAGAATTGCTTGAACCCAGGAGGTGGAGGTTGCAGTGAGTTGAGATCACACCAATGCACTCCAGCCTGGCCAACAGAATTAGACTCTGTCTCAAATAAATACATTTTTAAAAATAAATGAAAGACTCTCTCACCTTCAGGGGTCTTGTGCAGGTGCTTGGGGGCAGCCCTGGCTTCCAGACTCCGTCCTTCAGTCTTGGCAGGTGCAGATGGCTCTGAACACAGTTCCTGGGAACAGTCTGGTTGGGGGTGGGTGGCATTAAGGTGGGATAGAGGTTCTGTTAACTTCTCCCCAATATTCCCCTAAGACTCACTTTTTCTTCCCTCCTCCCTTCTAGGGTGCTACTCACCACAGTCCTCATAGATGGTGTCCGGGGAGCAGGGAAGGGGGCCTGGGGTTGGGAAGGCTCCCAGCCAGCGCTGCATGTCTGATCTGGTGGGGATATTGGAAAATGTTGCAGTTGGCCCAGGAGATCCTCTGGGGTTGAGGCAGGAGCCACAAAACAGAGAGACTGGGGAAGTTGGGGGAGGTCTGAGAGGCCAGATAAGGGTCCCAAGGGTGTTTTCTAAAGGAAACACAACTCACAGGGAAGAAGCTTGGAGTAGTCGGTGGGTGGGGCGGCCCTGGTGGTTGCTGAGAAGGGAGAGGCGGAAGGTAGGGGGTCCAGATGGATCCGGAACCTGCTGGGCCTGGACCAGGGAGCGATGGGCATAGTCCAGAACCTGTAGCCGCTGCCCACTGCCCAGGGATTGTGTCATTCAGAAGGACAGCAGGGGTCCCGCTGGACCCTTCCTGCCCACTCAGCCTGGGGTCCTTCCTACCCTAGGACTCACCTCTTAGGCTGAGTGATGAGCAGTAGGTCGCTAAAGAGCAGCAGGCAAAGAGGCGTGAAGCGGGGGCGCGAGGCAAAGAGCACGCCCCCCCTCCGGCACCCTAACTCCGTCAGCTCTCCCTGGAACTCCAGGCGCCGTGACCAGGAGACCAGGGGCAGGGCCTGCGAGGAAGCAGAAGCAGAGGAGGTTCTAGCTTCGCAGCACTGTGGGGCAGGACAAGATGGGGAGCCTGGGTAGGGATGTACCTTGACTTTGTGGAAGCGCAGCCTTTGGGTGAGCCGGATCAGCTCTTCAGTCTGCTTCATGCGCCCCACCTCCGCGCTGCAACGCTCGATGATCTGGGTAAGGGGAGCCTCATCACCCATCCCAGCGGTCAGCCCCCACTCCCTGCCATTTCTCTCTCCCACCTTGTCACCTCCCCCAGCTTCAGCTTCCCTCCTGCCCACCTTGCTGACAGCACCCAGGGCCTTCTGGGCATTCTCCTGGCGGCTGGACCCTTCTTCTGTCTGGCGCAGGATATTCTGGGACAAAGAGGAAAGGTGACTGGGCCCCCTGATCTGTGGCCCTGGGATTCAGAGGGGCCACAGCTCAGAGGACCCTGCCTGCTTTGGCTAGCTTCAGCAATGCTGAAAGACCTCATCACTCACCATCTGCAGAACCCTGAGCAAGTCCTGTTACTGCTCTGAGCCTCAGCTTCCTCATCTGTAAAATGGGGCTAATACCCACCTGCTAGGTATACATCAATAGCATTGTTTTGAGGATTCAAGAAGGTAATATATGTAAAGTGCTTAGCATAGTTCTTGGCACATATTAAATGTTGAAAAGAAGGTTGCTCTTATTTTATTTTTATTTAATTTTTTAAATTATTTTTTAAGAGACAGGGTCTCACTATGTTGCCCAGGCTGGAGTGCAGTGGCTATTCACAAGCACGATCCCACTACTGATTAGTACGGGAGTTTTGACCTGCTCTACTTCTGGACTGGGCCACTTCACCCCTCCTTAGGCAACCTGGTGGTCCTTCACTCCCAGGAGGCCATCACATGGATGCCAAACTTAGTGAGGACACCCGATCAGCATAGCGCACTACAGCCCAGAACTCCTGGGCTCAAGCGATCCTCCCACCTCAGCCTCCCAAGTAGCTGGGACTACAGGCGTGCACCACAACTCCCAGGTAATTTTTGTATTTTTAGTAAAGACGGGGTTTCACTATGTTAGCCAGGATGGTCTCGATCTCCTGACCTCATGATCCGCCCGCCTTGGCCTCCCAAAGTGCTGGGATTATAGACGTGAGCCACTGAACCCAGCTCCATCAATTAATTCTATATCACCTGTGGCAAGTTATGTAAACTGTGCCTTAGCTTTCTCATCTCTAAAGTAGGACAAACAATAGTTCCTACCCTCACACAGTTGTGGGTAAGTTTACACAGGTGTATGGCACTTAGAACCATTCCTAGAAAGCTCAATAGCTGTTGAGCTATTATGATTAGTATCATTATTATTATTGTGGTGTCTACACTGGAAATAGATAAAGCTGAATAAAATCATAAAGACAGTGATAATCTAGTTGGGAATTTTTCACATAAAAATCCCACCATTCGCTGGGCTCAGTGGCTCATGCCTGTAATCCCAGAGCTTTCAGAATCTGAGATAGGAGGATCACTTGAGGCCAGAAGTACAAGACCAGCCTGGCCAACAGAGTAAGACCCTGTCTCTATAAAAATAAAAATTAATAAATAGCTGGGCATGGTGGCATTGTAGTCCCAGCTACTTTTGAGGCTGAGGTATGAGGATCCCTTGAGCCCAGGAATCTGAGGCTGCAGTGAGTCGTGATTGTGCCACTGCTCTAAAGATCCCCATATTGGGTAACCTGGTTAGAAAGGAGTCTCTACTTTGCAATAGAAGACAGTGTCTCAGGTTGAGCACAGTGGCTCATGCCTGTAATCCCAGCACTTTGGGAGGCGGAGGCAGATGGATCACCTGAGGTCAGGAGTTCAAGACCAGCCTGACCAACATGGTGAAACCTCATCTCTACTAAAAATACAAAATTAGCCGGGTGTGGTGGCACATGATTGTAATCCCAGCTACTGGGGAGGCTGAGGTAGAAGAATTGCTTGAACCCAGGAGGTGGAGGTTGCAATGAGCCGAGATCTCGCCATTGCACTCCAGCCTGGGCGAGACTCCATCTCAAAAAAAAGAAAGAAAGAAAGAAGAAAGAAAAGAAAAGAAAAGAAAAGAAAAGAAAAGAAAGAAAAGAGTGTCACTGGGCGTGGTGGCTCATGCCTGTAATCCCAGCACTTTGGGAGACTGAGGTGGGTGGATCACCTGAGGTCAGAAGTTCAAGACCAGCCTGATCAATATGGTGAAACCCCATCTTTAAAAAAAAAAGAAAGAAAAGAGTGTCTCAACCCTTTTTTCCCCATTATCACCCCATTAAGGAGCCTTTTTAAGATAATTATCCCTAAACATCCCCCTTACCATGAACCATGAAAGTTTAATTCTACAGATCTACTGTAACTCTGTTTATGCACTAAAGCTTAAGGGAGTACCACTGCTGGAATAACATTATTTTCACATCCAAAGAACCAATTTTTGCCCCCTTGGGGGTGATATCACCCCAGCTGGGAAGGCATGTGGGTAGAAAAATACAGCCGGAGACAACCTCAGAAACCATTCACACACTCCCCCTGAGACCCAGAAAGCAGAAGGGACTTGCCCAAGGTCACTCAGTGAATCAGTGGCAGAGCTAAGTGTGGAACTCATGTCTCCAGCCAGAGGCCCTTTCCCTGTACCTGGACCTGGAGGCAGTCCAGGTGGGGGGAAGAGCCCACACAGCCACTAAGGTAGGGTTTGGTGGGTCCTAGGCTGGGAGACCCAGATTCAGAGTTATGATGGGGGATTTTATGGGTTTTTTGTTTTGTTTTGTTTTGTTTGTTTCTTTGTTTGAGACAGAGTCTCTCTCTGTCGCCAGGCTGGAGTGCAGTGCCACAACCTCGGCTCACTGCAACCTCCGCCTCCTGGGTTCAAACAATTCTCCTGCCTCAGCCTCCCAAGTAGCTGGGACTACAGGCGACTGCCACCGCGCCCAGCTAATTTTTGTATTTTGAGTAAAGACAGGGTTTTTACTGGCCATTTTGGCCAGGATGGTCTCGATCTCCTGACCTCATGATCTGCCCGCCTTGGCCTCCCAAAGTGCTGGGATTACAGGTGTGAGCCAAGGCGCCCTGCCTTTATGCTTAAGGTGGAGTCGGGCCTGGTGATAGCTGGACAAGAGGCCCTCGGGAGAGTTCTCCAATGGGGTTGGTGGGGCAGGTACAGCCGCAGCCGGGTCAGGTACCTGCAGCAGCATGCGGAGCCGGGTGATGCGCTGGAAGGGCAGTAGCAGGAAGGACGGCAGCGGGAGCCGCTCACACTTCGGGAGGCTCTGCAGCCGGCGCAGCTCCGCAGAGAAGCGCACGTTGGTGTCCCTGCAGAAGCAGGCGTGGCTAGCGGCTGCCTGGAGACCCTGGTGTCCCAGCCTGCTGTGGGCCTTGGCCCACCCCTCTCCCCAGCTTCCTTCCCACCCCCGGGACACTCACATGAGGCGGCTGTAGGTCTCCTCCTGATACTGCTGGTTCCGCACGTAATCCACATACACCGAGAAAGGCCCCACGGCGTGGTCATGCACCACATCACACAGGTCGCTGATGTGCGGGGAAGAGCGCACACGGGACAGTAATGTCGCTAGAAACCTGAAGGAATTGGGGAAGCAAGCAATGGGGCGGGTCAGAGAGCCAGGTCTCCCGCGTTCTTGAGAGAAGGGCTGGGAACTAACTGAACCCGCAGAAGGATCCGGGAGAGAGAAAAGGGAGTGCCCAGCAGCCTAAGGCCAGGTTCCCAGGAAGGATGGGAAGCCACTGACCGCTCGCTGACTCCCTGGACTCTCTGCACGTTGGAGAAGAGTGTGTGGTGATCACGCGGGGTGAGCGTGTCCCGGAGTGCCTGGCTTAGCACGAAAGTGTCGGTCAGCAGCCGCAGGGAGCGCAGGTAGGAAGCCTCTGATGTCACCACCTCGAAAAGACTCTAGAAAGAAGAGCACGCAGTCGTGGCAGTCCCCTATGCCTGATTCATGCAGCCCATTCCCAGCACCCTCCTCCCATCTCCCTTGTACAGCCCCCACCTCCTGCATGCGCCTCTCCTGGGGGCTGAGGGTATCCAGAAGGCCGCTGGCTTGCACAGCCGGAAGCTCCTGCCACAGGGTGTTACGAGGTCCAGGGGGTCGTGGGAAGGTGGGTGCATCTCCAGCATTTGCTGGAGAAGGACTCCCATCCTCACTGACCCCCCACAGCTCCTCTGACAGCACAGCTGCTCGGTAGGTCTGGTACAGAGGTTCTAGAGGGCAGACACAGCACTTCAGGGAAGCCCAGTGCCCCCAAACCCTTCTCCACTTCATCATGGTCACAGCAGGGACCCTCAGGTCCAGAGGCCCTCACCATCCTGCAGGGGCAGCTCCCAATTCTGCTCCTTCAGCACCTCTAGGCCCTCCTCTTCCCTGTGGAGAAAGAAAGGGAAGGGAGTCCCCAGGCCCACCACTGCTGCCACCGCAAGGATGTCTGTTGTCCCCATGCTGTACAGGGCAACCCACATGCAGGTTGGATGTAGGGACCCAGACAGCTCCCCACATCAAACTTCAGGTTTTTTGGGGTTTTTCTTCGGGCGGGAAGACAAGGTCTCACTGTGTTGCCCAGGCTGGTCCTAAACTCCTGGCCTCAAGCAATCCTGCCACCTTGGCCTTCCAAAGTGTTGGGATTGCAGGCATGAGCTACTTTGCCCAGCCCAAACTCTAGATCTTTTTATGTGCCATTTAAAGAGGACCCCCCTGAGCTAAGTGGGCCCCGTTCTTATCCAACTGCTGTGGATCAGAGACTTCTGAGTCTCCTCCTCAACCCTCACGTCACAACCATTGTCTGGAATGTTCTATTTGTGTGTCAAGGAAGCTCAACATGATGCACTACAAACTCTCACACCTCCCACCAGCACCTGCAGCCCTCATCTGCCCCGCTCTGGTCCTCGGCATCACCACACCCCCATTCACCCAAGCTAAAAACCACACTAGTAAATGTTTGTTGAATAAATGAATGAACCCAGATAACTTCTGATAGCAATGGTGAATCTGAGATAATTAACAAGCCTGTTTAGCGTAGAAGAGACAGTCATGATTGCCAAATAGATTTTCAGGCAAGAATTGCCATAGAAGCTCAAGGTAAGGGAAGGGAGTTAAGATGGTGCAGGTACTCTGGGCCCGGCTCTTCACAATATCATACCCTCATGATTCCATGCAGTGGTTCCTATGCTTAGCCCCATTTCACAGATGAGAACACTGAGACCCAGGAAGGTTAAAGACTTTTTTTTTTTTTTGAGACGGAGTTTTGCTCTTGTTGCCCAGTCTGGAGTGCAATGGCACAATCTCAGCTCACTGCAACTTCCACCTCCTGGGTTCAGGCGATTCTCCTGCCTCAGCCTCCCAAGTAGCTGGGACTACAGGTATGCACCACCACGTCCAGCTAATTTTGTATTTTTAGTAGAGATGGGGTTTCACCATGTTGGCCAGGCTGGTCTCAAACTCCTGACCTCAGGTGATCCGCCTGCCTTGACCTCCCAAAGTGCTGGGATTACAGGCATAAGCCACTGCGCTGGCCTTCTGTTAGGTCACAGAATCGATAAGGGCCAGAGCTGGGATTCAAAACAAAGGCTGCTTATCTCTAGAGCCCTGGCCCTTGTCCCCTCACCTTTGTGGAGGTGGGATTTAGCTGGAGCTGAAGGTTAGCCTGCCCTCAGGTAGAGGCATGGTAGGGAGAGTGGCGGGGAGTAGGTAGGGGTGGGGGTGTTCCGTACCTCCCCTCCACAGTTGCGGGAGGAGTGTTCCGAGGAGCTTCATCAGGACTGTCCCCTGGAGAGAGAAGCCAGAGTGAAGAGAAAAAACCTCTAGGATCCTCAGCCCAGGACTCCTGACTCCAGCCCCAGCAGGGACTGTTACTATAAAAACTGCAACTTTCTTTTTTTGTTTGTTTTTGTTTTTTGTTTGCATGTTTGTTTTATTCAGTTCCCATAGAGACTGCCAAAAGTTGCCAATGCCAACTGTATTTCAAGTTGTCATGGTGGGGTATTGGGAAAAGTTTTCAATTAGCAATAATCGCACCTTGGGTAAACCTTATTGGCTATGATACTGCCACTGCGAAAAGCTAAAAACTGCAACTTTCATCAGCACCAGAGCAGTAGCTGGTAGAGAAGCAAAGAGCCCAGGGCCTGTTGGGGGTTGTAGTTTGTTGGGCTTTAGTCCCCCTTGCCTCTCCCCATCCCCTCACCTCCCAGAGGTCCACTCCCGCAGGCCCTGCACCTGTTTGGATTCCATCTTCAGAAGGCAGATCGAGATCTGCCTGTGCGGGGTCCCCAGAAATGGTGGCGTCCTGCCTGACACGAGTTGGCTTGGGAGGCTTGAGAGGTGGCAGGAGTTTGCGCTCGGCAGTGGAACGGTAGGATGTGAGGACCACGGCTGGGTGACCGACGCTTGGAGTGTTGGGGCGGGAGCGAGAGGTCCGTAGCGGGGAGGCCCGGCGGGGGGCCCTGGGAACCTCCTCATAGCCCCCCACAGGTACCCATCTGAGCTCCAGGCCAGGCCGGGTGGCATGACAGACACAGGGGCAACAAGGAGGGCAGGCCAGGCCAGCATCTGCGGGAGACAAGTATCCTAAGGAGAAAGCCCTTGGGGCCCAGCCCCACCCCACCCAGGCTGCCTCTGTCTTTAACCTGCCCAGCAAGGGCAACATCAAGGTCCAGCCCCAGGCATCTGTCGATCTCCTCCACTCTGACTCTCTTCAAATCCCAACATACAGAAACCAGATATCCCAAACATTAAATCCATTTTTGAAAAGGTAGCCCCTGAAAGTTAGCCTTAAAGCACTGAAAACGAAGAAGATGGGTGAATTGAGGTCACCCAACCCCACATACTCACCTGGAGCACTGTTCTCCTGGGACCCGCTCCCGGTGAGGGGACCCTCTCTCTCCCCATTCACATCTGCTCCCGCTTGGAGACCTGGCTCCAGGGCATCTGCGGCCTGAGGCTTGCCTTCAGCACCTCCTTCAAACCTGCCAGCCAGCCTCCGCACAGTGCCAGGAGCTGAGGAGGAGCCATTCTGGGCCGGGATCCCCACCATGGGGAGTAGGGGCATGCGGGGTGACCCAGAGGGCTTGGGTGGGGGGACTGGAGACCGGGGGGCAGGTTCAGGGGAGGCGGATCGCCGGGACACTGGGCTGGGTGTGGGGGTGCTGGAAGGTGACTCTGGGGAAGTCTGGGAGTCAAGGCTGGCCCTAGAAGCTGAGGGAGGCAAAAGAGCAGGGGGCTTGAGGGATGCGGCTGGGGGCTCCCAGAAAATGGGGGTGCACATTGGGGTTGGTGCATCATTGGAGATTTGGGGAAGTTCTTGTGGAGAGGAGCCATTGTGAGGAGGCCCCAGGGACTGGGCAGCCCTGGAACGAGAAGGAGGGCGGGGGCGGATGATCCGAGGGGGCTTCTGCGTAGGGGGTGTCGCTGCAGGAAGGGACTGCGCTGACATCTTCCTCTGCGCTCTTCAAAGGAGTGGGGCGCTCTGCTGGAGTCATCCCCTGAGGAGGAGGAAGGGAAAGAGGAAGAGCCTTAGTGCCCTGCAGGGTGGGTAAACTAAGGCCACTGGAAGGCAGGATCTTGAAGTCAGGAGGGAAGGCTGGTGTAGGGGTTCCAGAGAATCCATCAAATTCAATAAGGGGGGATTCCCTTGCTAGTACAGCCGCTCCGTGTCTGCCTGCTGAACCGTGTGTCTGTGGAGGGTGTTGCGGAGGTTTGTGTGGGGGGTGGCACGGTGTGTTGTGAGTGTGCCAGTTCTGTACTTGCCGGGTGGGTGTGCAAGGGGAGAGTGGAGTGTCCAGTGTGTGGCGTGTGGCCTGTGAGGAAGTGCTCGGTGTCAGTGTCCGAGATGGCGGTGCCAGGGTGGCTGTGCGATGTGCGATGTGCGTTCTGTGCTGTCTGGGTCTGAGTGCTGCACGCCTGTCCTGTCTGCTGGGCCTGGGCTGCGAGGGATGCATCACTGTTTTTCTGCTCCACCGGCCCTCCGCCCCCCATTTCCCAGTTCCTCTCTCTGGACTCTCCCTTTCCGGATTATTTTTAGTCTCCTTTTCCTGCCATCAAGATTCCTGGAGCCTCTGACCCCCAGAGATGAGAAGGCCCTGGCACAGTCTCTCCTGTCCTGTGTCCAATCATCCCTGCCTGCCCTGGGGTCTGGTCACAGAGAGAGGTCCAGCACAGGCCAGGGTCCTGCAGGCCTGGGGAGATAGCTGGGAGAGCAGACTGAAGGAGGGGACCAGTCAGGCCAGGATGCTGGGGCCTGGGTTTCTCCTCCTTCCTCGAGGAAGGAGGCTGTAATACCAAGAAGGCTGCAGGGTCAGGGCTGGGGAGCAGGGGAACCCCAAACTCCCATCAGGGGTCAGCAGGAGAGTCAGACCCCTCCAAGCCTCAGATTGGGTCTTGAGAAATGATGTGGGGGAGACATGGGAGTTGCAGATGTTGGGTCTTGCAGCTCAGTGGCCTCTGTTCTGGCGGAAAGTCACTTAGCAAAGTGATCCACACAGTGGTCTTGACCACTGGCCAGCTCCTCCCCAGCCCCTAGTCCTCTGGGACCCCACCCCCTCAGGTACCTGCATTTACTTCCTTCCCTACCCCCCACTCAGGAACCCAGGTGCTTGGGCCCCCAGCACTCACCCTCGAATCCCCTCCTTTCTCAGTCACCTCCCAGGGCTGAGTGAGTAGGGGCAGGAAACAGGAATCGGATCTACCTCCCAACCGGACACCCCCCCACACAAACTACACCACTCTCCACATGCGCACATCACCCAGGGCTCTGGTAGACGGAGGTATCCAGGGTCTCAGAGATTAACGGAGTCGGGGGAAAAGCTGAAATTCAGGCATGGAAAGTGTGTGCGCAAGTTCTACCTCCACAGCTGTGTGGATGGGGGCTCACAGGGATGAGATGGATGGGGTGGGGGTGAAGACAGGGCAGCGATGGCACAGAGCTTGGCTGGGCAGCATGGGTGTCTGGACGCCACTTTCTCAGCTAAGAGATGTCTCAGCTAAGAGATCCCTCCTCGGTGAGTCTCACCATCTCTCCCACAACCTGCATAACCACCTGTCTCTTCAGCTGGGTGTGAGCCAAGCCCTATTTCACATGGAGGGACCCTCCCGCAGGCTTCCCTCCCTAATTCTGCAGTAGGTCCCCATAAATTTACCTTTATTTTTTGGAATCAGTTGTTATTTTCAGCCTGTCCTGTCTGCCCCTTGGAACAAGGAATGCGGAGCTGAAGTCTCCAAGTGTCTGTTCCTGTGTTTCTGGGGCGGGAACTCAGGGCCAGATTGAGATCTCTGCGGAGGAAGCCAGTTCCTCAGCCCCACCCAGCCATTGTGTTGGGTGTGTGTGTGTGTGTGTGTGTGTGTGTGTGTGTGTGTGTGTGTTATAGGAGGGAAAAAAGGGAAAAGAGAAGCGCCAGGAGGTAGGACTGAGGAGAGGAGAGGAGAGGAGAGGAGAGGAGAGGGGAATGAGAAAAGAGGTGCAGACTTGGGGTCCGTCTCCTCTGGGTGGGTATACATTTGCAGGGGCCCAGGCGTGGTTGCCCACCCTTATAATCCCAGCACTTGGGAGGGCAAGGTAGGAGAACCAGCCTAGGTAACGTAATGTGACCCTGTCTCTACAAATGATTTAAAGTAGCCATGAACAGGCCGGGTGCGGTGGCTCGCTCCTGTAATCCCAGCACTTTGGGAGGCCGAGGCAGGTGGATCACCTGAGGTCAGGAGTTCAAAACCAGCCTGGCTAAAATGGTGAAACCCTGTTTCTACTAAAAATACAAAAAATTAGCTGGGCATAGTAGCGTTTGCCTTTAGTCCCAGCTTCTAGGGAGACTGAGGCAGAAGAATGGCTTGAACACGGGAGGCAGAAATTGCAGTGAGCCAAGATCGTGCCATTGCACTCCAGCTTGGGCAACAAGAGCAAAACTCCATCTCAAAAACAAACAAACAAACAAACACTCCAATCCCCAAATGCTCAGGGAGACTGATTTGAGTAATAACAAATCTCTGGTCTCCCAGACAGCTGCCTCTACACTAATTACTTTTTCTCTATTGCAATTCCCCTGTCTTGATAAACTGGCTCTGTCTAGGCAGCAAGCAAGGTTAACCCATTGTGGGTGGTTACAACTTCACCTCTAGATCCTTTTTTTTTTTTTTTTTTTTTGAGATTGAGTCTCACTCTGTCACTCAGGCTGGAGTGCAGTGGATCTCCACTGCAGTGCGATCTCAGCTCACTGCAACCTCAGCCTCCCAGGTTCAAGCGATTCTCCTGCCTCATCCTCCCGAGCAGCTGGGATTACCATCACGCCTGGCTAATTTTTGTATTTTTAGTAGAGATGGAGTTTCACCATAATGGCCAGGCTTGTCTTGAACTCCTGGCCTAAGGTGATCCACCCACCTAGGCCTCCCAAAGTGCTGGGATTACAGGCATGAGAGACCACGCCCAGCTTTTAGATCCTTTTAGGCATCCTGGGAGGGCACTTCTTTCAAAGAATCTCCACACTCTATCAAGAAGGCTAGAGGCTGGGTATGATGGCTCCCGCTGAAGTGGGAGGATCCCTTGACCCCAGGAGTTTGAGACCAGCATGGGCAACATGGTGAAACCCGTCTCTACAAAAAACACAAAAATTAGTCAGGCACGGTGATGTCCACCTGTAGTCCCAGCTACTAGAGAAGCTGAAGTGGGAGAATTGATTAAGTCTGGGAGGTTGAGGCTTCAGTGAGCTGTGATCACAACACTACACTCCAGCCTGAGCAACAGAGCAAGGCACTGTCTCAAAAAACAAAGAAAGAAAGAAACCTAGATTTGTATGTGTGGCCTGTTGTATTTTCTTTTTGCTGCAACGGGAGCATCTTTATTAGTTTTGCTACTTGCAAAAATAACCTTTAAAGAGATCATTAAAAAGTACTGCTACTGGCCTGACTGAGGTGGAGAAACCCCAACTCTACTAAAAATCCAAAATTAGCCAGATGTGGTGGCGCATGCCTGTGATCCCACTACTCGGGAGGCTGAGGCAGGAGAATTGCTGGAACCCAGGAGGCAGAGGTTGCTGTGAGCCAAGATCGCAACATTGTGTTCCAGCCTGGACAACAAGAGTGTAACACCATCTCAAAAAAAAAAAAAAAAAAAAAAGAGTACGGCTTATTTGCTGCAAACATGAATGGCATTTGGCACTGCATTAACTGCTCCAGACCTGAAGTGGGGATGTGAGGTCTCAAGAGTGGGGAAGAGAAGAGGAATGAGATGGTTGGGCAAGCTCCTGGACCTTGCCCTTGTCCTCTCGATATGGTCTGGGTTTATCTCCTCTTCCTCTCCCCACCACCTGGAGGTTTTCATCTGTCTATCTGTTGGGAAGAAATTTCCCCCACTACCAAACACAGGAGAGCATGTTTTGGAGTAGCTGAAAGCTCCCTAGAGCCATACTGAGAATATTCTAACCTTCCTGACAAAGAGGCTACCTTGGGCCCACTGCCCAAAGCAAAGATGAAAACAATGACTTTTCAGATTTATAAAAATCACCATATAAGGCCAGGTGAGGTGGCTCATGCCTGTAATCCCAACACTTTGGGAGGCCCAGGCGGGCGGATCACTTGAGGTCAGAAGTTTGAGACCGTCTGGCCAACACAGTGAAACCCCGTCTCTACTAAAAATACAAAAAGTTAGCCAGGCGCGGTGGCAGGTGCCCGTAATCCCTCAGCTACTTGGGAGGCTGAGTCAGGAGAATCACTTGAACCTGGGGACAGAGGCTGCAGTGAGCCAAGATCACGATGTTGTACTCCAGCCTGGGCAACAAGAGCAAAACCCTGTCTCAAAAAAAAAAAAAGAAAGATGGCTACAACGAGCTGTGATCACACCATTGTACTCCAGCCTGGATGATGAGGGAGACTGTCGCAAAAAACAAACAGGCTCCATGCAGTGGCTCATACCTAATCCTAGCACTTTGGGAGGCTAAGGTGGGAGAACAGATTGAGCCCAGGAGTTTAACACCAGCCTGGGGGCAACCGAGTGAGATCCTTGTCTCTAAATTTTTTTTTTTTTAATTAGCTGAGCATGATGGCCCATACCTGTAGTCCCAGCTACTTGGTAGGATGAGGTGAGAGGATCACTTGAACCCACGAGGTCAAAGCTACAGTGAGCTGTGATCACACCCCTGCACACCAGCCTGGGCAACAGAGTGAGACCCTGTCTCAAATAGCAAACAAACAAATAAAGAAACAAAAACCCAATCCTTCTCATCCCAAATGGCCAAATTCAGCAATAACCAAAAAGTTCTTTCTGAAACCACCTTTGCAAAAATCGTAAATGAGAAAATTAGTTCAATGAATGCTGACCTAACTGACTCCATCTTGCTTCTGATCTCCAAGCTGTCCTTGTTCATTCCTGGGCATGAGCAGAACTGACTTTGGGAGGAACTTAGTTTATAGTTTAGCTTTGAAACATAGATGATAACAGCACTTTCCAAAAACAAACCCCTTTTCTGCTTGGGAACTAGATTACTCCTGCAGGACTAACAAATTTGTTATAAGATTAGAAGTTATGGCCGGGAGAGGTGGCTCATGCCCGTAATCCCAGCACTTTGGGAGACTGAGGCAGACTGATCACTTGAAGCCAGGAGTTGGAGACCAGCCTGGCCATCACGGAGAAAAATCTCTACTAAAAATATGAAAATTAGCTGGGCATGGTGTGGGGTCCAGCCCTACAGGGTCCTTTGAGCCCCTCTCTACTGGTTTGGAGACAAGAAACTGTGGAAATGAAAGACACAAGACACTGAGAAAGAGAAAACAAGAGTTTGGGCCAGGGGGTCCACTGCCAACCAAAGCGCAGAGTCCAGCAGTGGCCCTGAGTGCCTGGACACTCTGACTTTTACTGAATACAAAGCAGGGGGCAGGGTAGGTAGGGTGAGGTAATGGTGGTTAGTGATAGAGTCAGGTAAATCACATCTTGGAGATAGGGGCTCAGGTCTTTCAAGTAGCCAAGGCGAAGAGAAAACCTAATGCATCAGCATTTCTTCATACTTGTCAAGAAAGAACAAAGACGTTAAGATTTATGTTACTATTACTGATTCTATCTTATAGGAAAAGGAGGGACCAGGTGCAGAAGCAGAACATGAAAGTAGACATGGAACGTGGCGGCTGAAGCACAGCATCACATAGAGACAGTTAAGCCCCCGGATGTCTGCGGGCCTCCCTGAGCCATCAGGCCTACCACAAGAGCTTGGAGAAGTGGAGTTTTCGCCTCACTCCCCAAGAAAGGAGATGTCTCGGACGTTTTGGACATCTCCTTCCCTAGCTGACTTAACAGCAGGTGCTTTCCCAGTGCTACCGCTGCTGCACAGCCGAGGCACCCTCCAGCAGCCCTGATGCGGGCGTGACAGAGGACTTAGAGCATTTTGCCTTAGGATCACTTTGTTCATAATGTCACCTCAGTTCCAGGCTTCATAACCTGATAATCATTAGTAAGATTAAAAGATTATATTGAGTATATATATTTCTGTGATTACATATGAATAACTATGTGATTATTCATGATTATATATAGGAATAACTATGTAAGTATATCTCTAGTTCTTTTCTAGTTCTGTATTCATATGGAACAGGCTGAGGCTTCAGACCCTTGCCTCAGCACTTGCTGGGTCTCCCACCCACAGCATGGTGATGTATACCTGTAGTCCCAGCTACCTGGGAGGCTAAGACACAAGAATCACTTGAACCTGGGTGGCAGAGGTTGCAGTGAACCAAGATAGTGTGACTGCACTCCAGCCTGGGTGACAGAGCGAGACTCTGTCTCAAAAAAAAAAATTTGGGTTAGAGACTGTAAGACTCTGAACCTCCCCAAATTGCTCCTGGAGATAACATCATTGTTGTAAAACCTAAGATTAGTGCTTGAGATATTTTCCAGACCCTGCACTCAGAGGATCAGCTGGCAACACCCAGATGGATAAACGGGCTGATCTAGTGCCCCCACCCAGGAACTGACTCAGTAAAAGAGGAGAGTTTCAACTCCCTATGATTTCTTCTCCCACCTGACCAATTAGCACTCCCCACTTTCTGACCCCCAACCCACCAAATTATCAAAAACCCCAATCTCTGAATTTTCCGGGAGATTGAGTAATAACTCATTCAGTTTCACATGTGGCATGGCAGATCTCATGTCAATTAAACTCTTTCTGTACTGCAATGTTGTGGTCTTTTTTTTTTTTTTTTTTTTTTTAGACGGAGTTTCACTCTTGTTGCTCAGGCTGGAGTGCAATGACGTGATCTCGGCTCACTGCAACCTCCACCTCCTGGGTTCAAGTGATTATCCTGCCTCAGCTTCCTGAGTAACTTGGAT